CATTATACAATATTTTGAAAATTTCAAAACTCACAGTAGTTGTATTCGCTGCCACTGCTGCTGCTCACTGAAGTTGTGAAAAATTTCGAGAACAAATTTGTAAACAGCCCGGTGGTACTGGAATTCGTTGCTGCAAATATTAATAGTTTCAATATAAACAACTTCATTTTTATGCGTAAGCTATGCAATGCAGAAAACGCATACTGACGAGGGGTTGTCTGTGTACGCGTCTGTCACGCAATTTCATCTCAAAACCTATAAAAGCTGCGGGACTGAAATTTCGGGAACTTAAGCTACCAGCACGTGCCGGCCCAATCCCCAAAATGGGCGCCAAAACCCGCGTGGTACCCGCGTACGGGTCCGCCAAAGTTTTTTTGGGGTAAGTTCATAACTCGGAGATCTGAGAAGCTAGAACGCTGAAATCTTAGGGGGATGTCCCCCGTCCAAGTAGGTGTTAATGCATGGTACCCCGGGCAAGCGTGGTACCCGCGTGCGAGCCCCCAAAATTTTTTTCGGGTAAGTTCATAACTCAGGGATCTGAGATGCCAGAAAGTGGAATTTTGAGGGGATGTTCCCAGTCCAACTGGGTATCAATGCACTCAAACCCATCCCCCGGGTAAGTGTGGTACCTGCGTACGTTTTACAAAATTTCAGCAAAAAAAAGCAATTTTTGAAACTATTTTAAAACAAAAAGCAAAAATGCTCAATAATTCTGGTACGAGGGATAGGGAAGGCATTTTAATAACAAGAAATATCTACAGATATTGCAGGATTGTATTGGAATTTTGACAAAAAAAAAAGAGAAGAATGGACTGTGGCGAGTGGAACTGGCAAGAGATGATTTGCAAAGACCACTTCTAACAATTTCGAATCAGTCCATAAAACAAAAAAAAAATCTTCAACGAAAAGTAAACATGAGTAGAGAACAACTTACCTATGCCATCCGAACTGAAGCTTCCGTATTTCCTGAAGATATTCCCAGAAGCATCACACATCACTGGCAGGCACAGGGGTACCAGATGTTCATGGCCAAAAATTATTTGCAGGAATTCCAGTTTATGAAAACGGATTGTCTGCAAATTAGGACGTCATCATTTTTAGAAAAATTTTTGAAAAGAAAGAACCTTAAAAAACGAAGAAATACAGCAAAACATGCAAAAAATCTGGAAAATAAGTATCTTGGGTTGATTGGGCATGGCTTGCTCCTCTCATTTTGAAGATCCAGGGCTCAACCGGGCTTTTACAGGGATTATCTCATCGAGCGTGAAATTAAAATCCCTC